AGGAGCTCGGGCCGGTCTTTGTTCCTTCCTGCGGGCCCTCGGCGCCGCGTCCTGCCACGGCCTGGCCTCGCCTGATGGTCCTTGTGTGGCTCTCAAGAACCAGCCCTTCTCGGGTGGCTTTTCGGCACATCGTTTATTACACAAAGGCGTGAAGGCATCTCACACCCCCCTTTTTTTTTTTCCCATCCTCAGAACAAACGAGACCCCAGGACAGCGTCCCCCTGCAGAACTCGGAGCCCGCGATGGCCAAGCCCCAGGTGGTCGTCGCCCCGGTGCTGATGTCCAAGCTGTCTGCGAACGCCCCTGAGTTCTACCCCTCGGGTTATTCCAACTACACGGTGAGCACCGCCTTTCCTCAGCTCGGGTGCCTGAATGCCGCCGGCGAACGTGCTTCTGACCTCGCTCAGCAAGCAGCACGCCGGCGTTTTCTGTGCTGCACACAAAGACATGAATGCATGCAGGGAACTCGGGGGACACAGAACCGACTCGGGAGTATGTGTTGTAGTTAGGATCAGGGTATCAGAGTGTGAGCTTGAGAGCAGACATTCTCGTCTGTTTTGTTCTCAGCATCTGCAGAGTATCTGGAGGCTGGAAGACTTGATGTAGGCAAGCCCCCTCTCCCCGCTTCAATCTATAAAGCTGAAATTGTGGGCCCGACTTTATGAATAACATACAGAATAGGGGCCTGGCATTTATGAATAACATACAGAATAGGGGCCTGGCAAAGTTTATTTTTTAATTTGAGTTTAGTAAGATAGGCCCACTGATAGATTTAGGGTAAATCAAAGTGGTTTTGAGGCAGACTAATTGGTGTAGGTTTTTGAATGTTGAGAAGTACACATCTGGGCTCTGTTAAGTTGAAGTAGATGATTGTAATTATTATGTGGAAATGTAGGGGATTTTGATAAAGTGTTTACATAGGTATAAAGAACTTGTAAGCTTTCAGATTCATCTTTGTCAATAATATAAGAATTTAAAAAATTGGTCATGTTTTTCTTAAATACCAGGATGAAACAGCACAATTGGGGTGGGTAGAAAGGAATTTGTTGTGCTAAATAAATGCATAGCAATTAATTGTAGGTAAGTGAGGCAGGACCATTCTGGATTGATGAAATAGTAAGTTTAGCATAAGTCCTATCTTTCCTGTATTCTTAGCTTTATTGCCATAAAACACACAGAATAGTGCACATAAAGGTTAGCTCAAAGTTTCACAAAGTGAACACTTGGGCAACCAGCACTGAAATCAACAATAGTTTTGCCTCTTCTCAAAGTTTATATGAATGGAGTCATCCTGAATATATTACATTTGTTTCTCACTTTCATTCAATCAAAATTCATCCATGGTGTAGCATGTAATTGGAGGTGACTTATTCTCATAGGTGACTTATCCCATTGTGTGACTGTTACCACAGTCCCATTGGTCTGTTGAACACTGGGGTGGCTTCCACTTTGTGGCTATTATGAATAGGGCTGCTATTTCTGGCCATGTCTAGATGGATGTACACTCTTGCCTCTGTTTGGTACATACCAAGGAATGGAATTGCTGGGACATAAGGTAGCCAGCTTTGGTAGACACTGCCCACTAGTTTTCCTGAGACTGTTCAGTCTACGCTTGGAGTAGTGTGTGATTTCCAGTTGCTGTGTTAGCTTGACCACCACTTAATATTTTCTCTTGTTTAAGTTTAGCCATTCTCGTGGGTGTGTAGTATCTAGTAGTTTTAGTTTGTATTTACCCAATAACTAATGGTGGCACTCCTTTTTGTTACCTTTATTTTGCTTTCCTTCCATATTTGATAGAAAGTATGGGAAAACTATATTCCATCCTTTAGAACAGTGGTTCTCAACCTTCCTAATGCCGTGACCCTTTAATACAGTTCCTCATGTTGTGGTGACCCCCAACCATAAAATTATTTTCATTGCTACTTCATAACTGTAATGTTGCTACTGTTATGAATCGTAATGTAAATATCTGATATGCAGGATGTATTTTCATTGTTACAAATTGAACATAATTAAAGCATAGTGCCCTAACTGGTTTGGCTCAGTGGATAGAGCATCGGCCTGCGGACTCAAGGGTCCCAGGTTCGATTCCGGTAAAGGGCATGTGCCTTGGCTGCGGGCACATCCCCAGTGGGGGGCGTGCAGGAGGCAGCTGATCGATGTTTCTCGCTCATCGGTGTTTCTAGCTCTCTATCCCTCTCCCTTCCTCTCTGTAAAAAATTAATAAAATATATTTTTAAAAAAAAAGAAAAGAAAAAAGCATAGTGATGAATCACAAAAACAACATGTAATTATATATGTGTTTTCCGATGGTCTTAGGCGACCCCTGTGAAAGGGTCGTTCAACCCTCAAAGGGGTCGCAACCCACAGGTTGAGAACCGCTGCTTTAGAATTCTCCGTGCATCTTAGACTACATTAGGAAAAGGCTTTGGGGCTGGGAAGTGTAGGCATAATGGGAAGAGCAGTTGATTTGGGCTGAAAGGAGCCATCAATCATGTAAAGTAGAAGGGAGACTAGTTTGGATTCTTGCCAGAAGATTATATTTGGCCCAGAGATGAAAGAAACCGTTGGAGACCTGTGAGTAGTTGAATAAACTCTTAAGCGTACTTACCTTCTAACAGCCACAGAGTTCTCCATCTGCTTTTCTCCCTGTTGACTGAGTTGTTTTATGATGAGGAGGGATGTAGTTTTTTCATGGTTCTGTACCAACTAGTTTTACAAGTGACTCCTGGGCTAGCTATAAAGCAGAGTAATGGCTGTGTTTGTCTACTTACTTTGAGCCACTGGCATCTTTTAGGCATCCTTTGATATCCTCAAATCAGCTTCTTCTCTGCTTAATTCCCTAGAATGGATTGCAAGCTAGAATGGCTCGTGTATGTCTTCTTAGGCCCTGTTGTTGCCTTTTTTTAAAGCATTTTTAATAAGTTACCAATACTTAAATTAGATATTGCAAATCTGAATTTTGTGGTGTCATGAAATCATAAGATTTGGCCATACTAGACTGTTATTTTGGTGAAAGTTGGCTGAATAGAAGCAGCCACTTTAGACAGTGTGTGTGAGCTCGAATTTGCGCACTGGCTTACTTCATTTGCTTGGAATATACCTGGATTCTGTAAGCATTCAAGTTTGCCACCCTGCTCTGGTACATTCTCCAGCCTCTATCCATTAACCATCTGCCAAGGCTGAGAGTTTTCTGCAAGCCACTTCGTCTCCTGACTCTTAGGATAAGATCATTTTTTCTTAATCCTCACCTGAGGATGTTTTTATTGACTTTTTTTTTTTTTTAAGAGAGAGAAGAAGAGAGGAAGAGAGAAAGAGAGAGAGAGGGAAAAACATTGATTGGTTGCCTCCTGTAAGCGATTCGACCGGGGATCCAACCTGCAACCTTTGGGTGTACAGCAGCGGTTCTCAACCTGTGGGTCGCGACCCCTTTGGCGGTCGAACGACCCTTTCACAGGGGCCGCCTAAGACCATCCTGCATATCAGATATTTACATTACGATTCATAACAGTAGCAACATTACAGTTATGAAGTAGCAACGAAAATAATGTTATGGTTGGGTCACAACATGAGGAGCTGTATTTAAAGGGCCAGGAGGTTGAGAACCACTGGTGTACAGGATGATGCTCCAACCAACTGAGCCACCTGGCCAAGGCAGGATCTTGTGAGGGAAACTTCTTCTTACAGTCAACATAATCCAGAGTTAGCTGTATTCGCTCACTCAGTCAGCAACAGCTTAACACCTATCCTGAGTCAAGTACTGGGGTACAGCAGTGAGCACCATGAGCAAAAATTCCTACGTTCATGGAGCCTCTATTCTAGTGGCCTCCTGGCTTGGTCTCCCGTAACTCCTTGAGTCTTCTTCTTAGACATGAAAATCTATTGCTTGGTGTCCTTGAGCTGGATCTGCTTTCAAGAAAGCATGCTGCCCTGGGCTGGTAGCTCAATTGGTTAGAGGATCATCCTGATACTCCAAGGTTGCAGTTTCGATCCCCGGTTAGGGCACATACAATGAATGCATAAATAGTTGGAACAACAATGTTTCTATATATATTTCTCCCTTAAATCAATAAACAAAAATTTTAAAAAAAGAAAGCATGCTTTTTCTAAAAGCCATTTTGATAGGTTTTTGCTGTGCTTTCTTAACCCTTCCAGAACTCTAAGCCCTTCTATCTCCAGTCCTCCTAATCCCACTGCTAGAATTCCTGCTCTCTGTCTATTCTTACCATTGAGTTCTGTATCCTCCTATTCCTGACCATTGTTTTTCTTTTTTTTCCTTTGGTTTAATTTACTGGAAGTCTGGATATGGCAGTCAGAAAGTCTCCTACCACTGTACACTATGATGAAATTATATAGTCACTTACTGTATATATTTCCCTGTCCTTGAGAATTAACAGATAGACAGATGACAAGCCTTACTAGCTTTTTTTCAAAAATTGTCAAATATCTATTAGGATATGAGAATGGAATAATGAATCCTCATGGCCTCGTCAGTTAGCTACATGAGGCCATTCTTTTTTTTTTCCTTAAATATATATTTTTTATTTCAGAGAGGAAAGGAGAGGGAGAAAGAGATAGAAACATCAAGGATGAGAATCATTGATTGGCTGCCTCTTGCACACCCCCTACTTGGAATTGAACCCACAATCTAGGCATGTGCCCTTGACTGAATCAAACCCGGGACCCTTCGGTCCACAGGCTGATGCTCTGTCCACTGAGCCAGACCAGCTAGGGCTACATGTGGCCAGCCATTGGTTCTATATCCCTGGCCCCTCCTCCCCTCCCGTTGCAAATCTTAGATCTTATTATATCCGTAAATAGATTAAAATCTTAATTTTGATATTGGTATTATAGTGAAATATTGGTTTAAGCTTTGTCAGCCATCTTGTAAATCTGTCAGGGATGAGAAGACAATTCCCTGCCTGGCTAGATGGAGCCCTTCTGTTAGAACATTTTGGCCATTGGGCAAAATTAAGTGGACTTAAGCTTCTATAATAATAAAAGGGTAATATGCTAATTAGACCGGACGTCTTCTGGACATCCTTCCAGAAGTCCTTCCTGACGAAGCCGGGGTGGGAGGGAAGCCAGCCGGGTTCTGGGTGCCTGTGGGCGGCCTGGGGGAAGCAAGCCTGGGTCCCGGGTGCCTGCCGACTGCTGGAGGAGGGAAGCCCGGGTGTCGGAGGGAAGGAAGGCCTACTCTTGAACGAATTTTCGTGCATCAGGCCTCTAGTTTTATTAATAAAATAACTTTTATCATATGAAAGATCCTTTAAAAAATTATTTGTGCTGGAACCATCTCGACCTAAAGCTGCATCATGTTCATTTCAGCCAGTTGCACGCTTAAAACTTTTCTTTTTAACTTTGCATCTACAGGAATCCTACGAGGATGGCTGTGAGGATTATCCCACTCTATCTGAATATGTTCAGGATTTCTTGAATCATCTTACAGAGCAGCCTGGCAGTTTTGAAACTGAAATTGACCAGTTTGCAGAGACCCTGAATGGCTGGGTTACAACAGACGATGCTTTGCAAGAACTGGTGGAACTCGTCTATCAACAGGTAGGTCGGCTAGTAGTATGTAGCATGGGATGGTCCTCGGGTAGCTTCCTCGAAGCCCAAGGATGGTGGCTGCTCCTTGAGGGAGGCCAGGTTCATGTTCACCTGCCTCCACACTTGTTAAGTGTATGGTTCATGGGAGCGTTTAGGTCTCTGTTGTATAAAGTTTCTGTCATTGGGGACCCAGGGCTGGAGCCAGATTGCAAAGGCACCAGTGTAGCCGCGGCACTAGACCGGCATTGGAAGGAGCTGCAGGCATTTATGAGGAAGGCTCCATAAGTATCATGCCTTTTCCCACCCCTTTCTGTTTTATGGGACCTGAAATTAACAGCACGTTAAAAGGACTGCAGTATTTTCTCCTAGATGTTGAATAATAGAGCATTATTGGAGTAGGGGAGAAAAAAAGATCATGGGAGAACTTGTCTCATAAACGAGTCCTTAAAAAAAAAAAGTGAAACCACAGAACACCCTGTCTTGTTTTAACATTTCTGCTTGTCTTTATTTCAAATTTTCACGGATTTACATCTTAATTCCTTGGAAATCTAATATCTAGATTATTTTTTCATACAAAGTTTAGTTTTGATGCTAGCATATTATCACAGACACATTAATGCTATTTTAAGGAGGGAAAGTAGACAATACTATATTTTTTAAGGCAAATAAGGTCATGTAAGACTGACCAAAAACGGAGTAGGAGGTGAACATAAATAGAACCTTCAGTGTTCTTTAAGTCACCACTAAATGAGCAACTCAAACGTGGAATATATAGGAAGGGTGATTATGATAGCACACAGGTTGGTTTTTTTGCCAGCTAGTATCTCATTTGACTATATTTCCAGTTTGTTCTGGGTTGTTACTGGACCCTATTACTTAGCCCAGCAATTTTCAACCTTTTTCATCTCATGGCACATGTAAACTAATTACTAAAATTCTGTGGCAGACCAAAAATATATTTTTTGCTGATCTGACAAGAAAATAAAGGTATAATTTTGACTCATTCACACTAGACAGCTATTGTTATGTTGACTGTTGTCATTTTTTGTTTGACAACCTAAGGGAAAAGAGGTCAGTGCCCCTGACTGAATAGTCAGGTATTGCATGATTTAAAAATTCTTGTGGCACACCAGCGTGCTTGCCACACACACACATTGAAAATCGACCTAGCCAACTCTCAAGTTTCCAGAAACGCCTGAGATTGTAGGAAGATGGAACCGCTCTATTTGTCCTGATACCTACTTTCAGCCTTTAAATGGATTGAAAAAGAATGTGAGATAAGAAATGGAAGAATTATACTCTTGCTTAAACTTTTTCTGGTTTTTCTTCTAGTTCTAAATCCTCAAGGAGGCTGCCCTATCATAGTTCTTTAGGGCGGGCAGAAGGGCTGCAACCTGACAAACTACAGTTTCCTTAACACATTGCGGACCAATAGTTTTATTGCTAGCTTTACCCAGTGACCAGATAAGTTTCTATTGAACGAGTACAAAAAACGTTTTACATAAATGTGAAAGGCACTCTTTAAAATTAAATGCCCATTGCATTTTGAAGTTAATTATTACATGTTCTTACAAGCTAATATCTTTTTTAAAAATTCTTGTGATTGGCCACAGGCTTTAGAAGAGAAAACACGAGAATTCTTGTGATCTGTCCACAATTTAACATTCTGTGGTCAGTGATACACAGATTTGCCAAC